GGAGTTCCCCCAGGCACCTAAATGTGGCTCTTTTTTCCCACTGAGACATACATCCTCTCATGTTTTCATTTTGGCCTTTGGAAAGACTGATGTTTTAAATGTGAGGACTTTCATGTTGTTTATACCTCATTGGAGATGTTTCTCGGATCACATAGTCAGAGGAGTTATGAAAGCGTCCTCATACTTCTCCTCACTTATGTTTTGCACCAGAAACCAGACACACACATTCATAAATTTCAGTTAATGCTTTGTCTGCCTGGTTGACTCTTTGTGAAGAACCGAATATGGAAAAAGCTACCGCACCGTAAATCTTCCCAAGGAAAGTGATTTAAATAAAGACAGAAGTATATCAAGTTTTCAGATCCATTATTTAAGTATAAACATGTATATAACAGTCCAACCTTAACTTAATAATAAAAATTCAGCATTTATTTAAGTATAACTCACAGGAAGTAAACATTCTTACTTAGTAAAGATTACTTTTTATTAGTTTGTATACTATTAGGTATTACATTAATCTTAATCTATCTGTGAGTAGGCAACATTTTACTGTTGTAGCTGCTTTTTGTAAAACGCAAATATGACTTACAGAGAGTACACACATACTGGAAACCCTGCAGGTAGTTTGCTTTCAGTAAATGTCAGAGATGTAGGAAGTAGGTGTGTGGTTTCAAAGAAAAATACAGCACCTGAAACAACCTTTTCGTTTGGTTTTGAAGTACAGCAGCTTGCATGCTATACTTCATGCTGTATGCTGTACATACAATATATGCCCTTTTGTTTTTATTATTATTTGTATTTGTTAGCTTTTTAACTCGGCAATCTCTGTAATTCTATGTGTGCAAATTCTGGGAAACCGTACATGCTTTTCTGAGTAGGCATGTATTTGCATTTGCTTGACATTTAGTCCTTATTGCAGCAAACTCATAGTAGCCTAATGTTCATGTTGGACTTTTTTTTCTGAAATATAACATATATTATTCTGGGGTTTTTTTTGGTGACAAGACAAAAAGTGTTCTTTTTTGTAAAAATGTATCTTGGCTTTTATATTCACTTTATTTTGATGCTATGTTTTTAATGTAAGTAATGGTTTTTGTATTGTTTTGTATCTTTTTTACAATAGGAAGTATAAAATTAAATGATCGAAATAGATACAGCTGATCTACAGGTACTGAATTTGTACATCCTGCAATGTCAAAAACCCATTAACACATTAACTACACAGCGAACAGTTCAGCTAATGTCACCCTGAGCTGTTAACCACTAGCAGACCCAAAGTGGGCTGCTTAGGTCAATGTCTTGATCACATTTTCTTTCATCTTGAACTTTTAGTGTGACGCCGACTGAAGTGACATAACTTAAGGACGACGTGAGCAGTTTCACATCACTTTTACTCCAGCCACAAAACACGTGTAGCTTTTTGACCTATATGTATAAAATCAGTGGCGTTACATATACTCCTTAGAGAACAGCCTAAGAGAAGTAAATACTGTAACCGTGTCATTATTTTTGATTGAAGCCATGCCGTTTCTATTCATCTGCATCAAATGTTCCGACGGCACCATTCATAAAGTTTATCAGTTGGAAGGCTCTGTTACAGAACATGCTCCTTTCACCCACAAAGTAGGTGGCACTTCTGTGCTCTACTTGTGAAGGGGAATCCTGATTTCTACAGTGTCACTGCCGCCCTTTGTGGCTATATAGTGTGACGGTACTAGTAGCTATTGTCTACTGCGTAGTGAGGACGCATATGCTAACGTCACATCCTGAAGGTTTCGTACATTGAACCATGTGGTTTGGTCTGTCTGTCAATGACGGAAGTAAATGTCAGTAGTTTCTTTTTTTATGATAGGAGGGCACACGTCATGTGGTTTAAGTAGGTGGCAGTTTTGCACAGGGGTGTCAGATATTAATTAATTACTTCTTATGACTAAATCATATAATTTCTGATGTACTCCCATAGCTTCTGCAAATATGGTCTGTCAAAATTTTAGTCAGGAAAAAATTATTAAATTGATAGTCAGCGTGTTTACAAGGCCAGCTGAGAGAGACAGTCACGTCTCTAGACTGGGGTGGGGAAGCTAGAGTGTCAAAACCCATTCAGGTGCTTTTTCTAAACCACAGTAACTACTGCAGGATTTTTTTTTCCCTTTGTTTAACATTAGGCATCACCTAATGTTAAACAAAGGGGGAAAAAAATCCTCCGATTAGAGAAAGTCACATGTATGGCGCTTTGGCTTACTAATTACAATAAATGAAGTGGCTCATTTAACAAAATTTAAGCACCTTCTTGATTTGCCAGGAAACTCCCCGTCAACAAAAGCAACCTAAAGTACTGTCACCAAAAGGTCACAGAATGGCAGTAAAACCTTCACATCATCATGCATTTGCACTGTGTGCTCCTGCAACATATACATGTAGGTTACAAAAATAACCCTGCAAAAAATCACACGCTTGTTTTTCTGTACATACCATGTACATCTTTAGTCATCCCTTACTTTTTTGAGTTCATTGAGATCACCTTTGGGTTTCAGCAGGGATTATCATACTCACTCATTGTGGGCTGTGGGATTTCCAGGCACAAAACTATAAAATATTGTTATTGCTTCTGTTAGTTGCTTTGTATTATATATACAATTTAAGTTAGTACACTTGTAAGAACATGTTGAACAATTCTAGAGGATCAGAAAAGTAAAAAATAATTTTTTCCCGCCAAAATTTCCATATCATTACAGTGGTCCCTCGTTTATCACGGGAATTACATTCTAAAAATAACTCGCGATAGGTAAAATCCGCAAAGTAGCCAGCTTTTTTTTTTTTTTTTTACAATTATTATAGATGTTTTAAGGCTGTTTAACCCCTCACTACACACTTTATACACTTTTCTCAGACAGGCATGAACATTTTCACACTTTTCTCTATTGTTTAAACACTCTCAAAGTTCAAACCTTTGTAGAAAAATAAGTCCAGTATTATAGAATGAAACCAAAGATCAAACCCTGTTTTCAGGTCCAAAACATGGGAATAGAGCAGCTGCGAGATAATTCTACATTAATGAATCAATGGTACAGAAGTAGAGGAAGCAAGAAGAATGAGTTGAGTAAAGTTTGACTTATATGACTGTTTTGTTTTGCTTAATGCGCCTTATAATCCGAAAAATACGGTAACTTCTACCTTCTTTTGGCATGTCCAGAAGTCCAACTTTCTGTGCGATGGTTAGCATCTTCCTCTGCCTTTTGGGTGCTGCTGCAGGTGCCTTTGACGGTGCAAAATGTTTCATCAACATTGTGTTTGTTGGGGTGAAAACTTAGAAACATATAGTACAGCACATCAGAGTCACACTGCTAGCAATCGACGATTTATGTAAATTTGACAAGCTGAACGCATTCTGTACTGTACAGGAGACGTGGCACAGAGGATACTGATTGAAAATGGTCTACAGCCAATCAGGACACAGAACACAATGCGCTGTTAAAAAAAAAAAAAAAAAAAAAGCACGCAAAATTGCACAAAAAATCCATTAAACAGCGAGACTGCAAAACGTGAACCGCATTATAGCGAGGGAGCACTGTATATACATTTTTCATCTGCTCCAACAATTATATGTAATGTGTGATCTTTTTCAAAAGTAAGTACAAGTGCGGAACAAAAATGCAGAAATAAAAATGCAAAGAGATACACATTACTTGCAAAGCAGAGAGTGCAAAGTTCATGTAAGAAAATGTAAAATTTACATATTTTGATAGTTAGACTCCAGTGAGAAGCAATAATACAGAGCAGAATCTGAGAAAAAGGGAGAAAATAGTGACTACAGCACCAGGCATATAAATACAGGTGATGGGTGATGGTGAAGATGAGTGAGCAGATGGTTGTAGAATTTGCATAAGACCTTTGCAGATGAGCTTGAATGACAGACAGCCTGAAAGAGGGGGAGTGACAGCAAATTAAAAAAAAAAAAACAGAGAAAAGAGGCTGAGTGACTCATAGAAGACAGACAAGTAGGTGCTTGGACAACAAAAGAGTTTTGAATAACATACACTACCGGTCAAAATTTTTAGAACACCCCAATTTTTCCAGTTATTTAATGCAATTCAAGTCATTCAAGTCCAATGATTAGCTTGAAATGATAAAAAAGGTAAGTGATGAACTGGCAGAGATAAGAAAAAAGAGTAAGGTTACCCAAAACTGAAAAATAATGTACATTTCAGAATTATACAAAAAGGCCTTTTTGTGTTTTCAGGGAACACAAAATGTTAACTGCTGTTCTGCAGCAATGGAGGTTGATCAAGCCTTAAAAGCTGGTGCTACTAATTCCTACAGGTGTTCCAAATGCATGATAGCAGTGTTGGAACACAATGTGGTACCATACCCTCATGAGCATCAGCAGAACAGTATTGTACTGCAGAAAGTAGTGTGTTGTTACAAAAATGGCGAGAAAAAGGCAATTAACAATAGAAGAGAGATAGATCGTCATGACACTTTAAGCGTCAGTGAGTACTGTTTCCTTTATTAAAAAAAGGCACTCAGAAATTGGGGCAAACTCTGACAGGAAGAGGTCTGGCAGACCCCAAACCATAACTGAATCAGAGAACAAGCTTCTGAGAGTTACCATCTTGCCTGATAGGCAGATCACACGATAACAGCCTCAAGCACGGATTAATATTTGTCGCAGTCAGAGATGTGTATGTGTTACTGCAATCCGATTACTTTTTCAAAGTAACGAGTAAAGTAAGGGATTACTATTGCAAAAAAGTAAATACTGTTACTTTCCTGTAAGCACACTGCATGACTGCGTTGCTAAACTGTGATTTTGTTTGTGAGAGCGTCTCATGACAATGATGCATGAGCATGCGACGTTCGTGGTAGCACCAGATGTATGTAGAGCAACTATAATATGGAGAGAGTACGACCATGCAGCGTTTAAAGCTTGGAAGTACTGACATTACTTTGTGTTTGATTCCGTAAAAGGTGACAAAAACATTAGCGTCTGCTGTAGACTCAGCGTGGGAACAAATTTTTTTCTACAGTGAAAAATTAAACTTCAAATCTGAGACAGTACCTATCACGCTGGCATGGGAATGTGAAATTCACAGAGAATCCCCTGTATCCCCCACTGACATTACCGCTGTGGCACAGGGCAAACCTCCACCGGTCCCACTCCTGCTAAACAGGTGAAAAAAGATTTAAGAACAACAGGACTTGGTAGAAAATAGGTTTAAATGTTAAACAATTTTTTTCCAGTCAGAGAATGTTGCATATACTTTTTAAAAAGTAATTAAGTAAGAAAGTAACTAAATACTTTTGAAAATAAGTGATCAGTAAAGTAACTGGATTACTTTTTTGGAGAAGTAATCAGTAAGTAGTTTCTAATAACTATTTTCAAGTAACTTGACCAAAACTGGTTGTAGTAAGCAAGTCTCAGTTTCAACTGTGAAGACTTCGAGCTGCAGCTACAGGATGAGTTGCAACAAGAAAGCATCAGAATAAGACAAAGAGGCTTGACTGGGCCATGAAACGCCACCATTGGACTGCTGAAGATGGGAAGAAGGTATTATGGACTGATGAATCAAAATTTGAAATCTTCGGTTCAACAAGCAGGATCTTTGTATGCCGTCAAGTAGGTGAAAGGATGGTTGCACAGTGTGTGGCATCAACTGTTAAAGATGGACGAGGAAGTGTGATGGCCTGTGGCTGTTTTGCTGGATACTGGGTCGGTGACTTGTACAGAGTGAGAGGCACCGTGAACCAAAACTGGAAACATTGGGGCATTCTAAAAATGTTGACAGGTAATGTACATTTGAAGTTTAAATCATTAAATTCAATAACCATTGTGCTAGAATGACCAGTTAAAGCTGGGTTAAAGTGGAAGATATGAAGTGCAGATCACTTAAGTGTTTCAACCACACTAAAAATGACAGGAAACATACCCACAGACAGCAATCTGAGGTTTCAGCCTCTGATGTTAAGTGGCAGACCTTCATAGACTTCTAGTCTACAAGCCATACCATTGTATGGCTTTGCATAGAACTAAAGACCCATACATCTTATCCAGTAAAATGTATTAAATGGTAAATGGCCTGTATTTGTATAGCGCTTTTACTAGTCCCCCCTAGGGACCCCAAACGCTTTACACACCCAGTCATCCACCCATTCACACACTGGTGGAGGCAAGCTACAGTTGTAGCCACAGCTGCCCTGGGGCAGACTGACAGAAGCGAGGCTGCCATATCATGCCATTGGCCCTTCTGGCCAACACCAGTAGGCGGTAGGTGAAGTGTCTTGCCCAAGGACACAATGACCGAGACGGTTCGAGCCGGGCTCGAACCAGCAACGTTCCAATTACAAGGCGAACTCCCAACTCTTGAGCCACGATCGCCCCAGTCAGGTGACTGGGGACCATTAGATAAATACTGAAAAAAACCCTAAATAATAATAAATGAGCAAAATTCATGAACACCTTTGGAGATAAAGCACAAAGGAAAGCAACAAAGCTCTGTACTTTATACCTATAAAGCCAAGTATATAGTTTTCGTGAGTTATTATTTTTTGTAAAGATTTCTACATCATCATCATCCTTTCTACAACATCAGTGTGATCCCCCCCCAAAAAAAAATTAAAAAAAAAAAACCTAAAGGGAAACTTTATCTGTGCACAAGCCCTAGCACAGCCATAGTGAGCACCACAGAGGAGAGGAATCTAGGAAAGAAGCTGTCATAAACAAAAAGAGGCTGTCACATGAAATTTGTCACCTGTCATTTGTGAGAGTGTGACATTATTTCAGGAGTCTTTGAGACGTTCTTGCATGTGTTCGAAAACAAGCTCCTCCAACACATGCTTTTACAGGAAAGTCTCTTAGAGGAAAGATTTATATTAGAGGTGACAACAAGCATTAAATGTTGTCTGCTTTAGATAAATCAAACTGCTTCACTGTAGATAAGCTTAGAAGTACAGCTTTATCCAGTTCAATTGTACAATAAAATAAAATATAATAGCAAGTAATCTGGTAAATTTACAGCAGTTAAAAAAAAGTTGAACTAAGCAAATTTTTTTCAGTTTAGCGTGTTCGTGAAGTGATCTATATTTACTAGTGGTCTTTCACTTCCTGACTACACAGTCACACTCTCTGTCATGCTGACGTCAGCCACCGATATAAAAACCTGTAAGCGCACACAGAGCACTGGACACAATGATTCACTTGGACCGCTCCATGGCACTTATACCATTATTTGTGGCTTTTTGGACTATAGGATGCGTTAAAAGCTGCGGTGATCAACAGACTCAGATGAGCGGACGGTGCTGTAACAAGTGTCCCCCAGGTAAAAAAAAACAAAAAACTTTTAAAAAATCAGATGAGTGTCTTTCAATCTAATGTTTTGATTAGTTTGATCTAATTATTACCGTAGTGATCTGTTTGATGTATTGATCAGATTATGTGTTTAAGATGAGCTTTTTCGTTCAAGAATACTGAAAAATACTAAAAGTCGCTAATTTTAACTTTTTCCTGGTTTTAAAGGCACTTATGTAGAAGAGTTTTGCTCTGACAGCCAACAAACTGCCTGCAAAGCCTGTCCAGACGGACATTTCTCACAACTTCCCAACCTCTTTGACAGATGTGAAAAATGTCAGACATGTCAGCGTAAGTTGAGAGAAGCTGAGAAGGCATTTACCAGAACTAGCAAAACATGAAATATTGTGTTGAATTCAGTGGTTTCAATTCTTGTCTGTCTACAGATTATGCTGTGAAATGTACATCAACCACAAACGCAACCTGTAGTTGTGCCGCTGGTTTCCTGTGCTCCAACAGCATCTGTTCGACTTGTGTGAAAGACAAATGCGTCACAGGAGAGAAACCAAAAAGGACAGGTAAGAATGGACATTTTGAGTTTTTACAGCTGCGAGTAAAATATATATCTTGCCACAAACACTGGTTTGACTATTGCATCTGTGTAATTGTGGATGTTTAGACTAATCCCTTAAAAGTCAAGACATGTTTATTATCACACGCTATTTAAAACAGATCCATGTGAAAGAATTTTTTTAATTTGTAATTTTATTCCACATCTGCTGTTCAACCTGAGCCTACTGATCAGGTGAAGGAGGAGCTGTTCATAATGTCAAGAGTGTTTAGCAAAGGTTCACAGAGTGAATGCTCAGTTCCCTTTTGTCTTAAGCTGCAGTCCTTACTATATGTCATCAGATATATACTCATAAAACCTCATTACTAGACTCATGACTGACCTCACGGCTGAAACTGACGATAAGTCACAGGCTCACCAAAGCTGACAAAATCTGTCACCCTGTAACCACAAATGTCCCCCCCAAAGTATCTTCCATGTTTACTGAAATAGTATTTCTTTCTTTTGTTCCAGTCGTCTCCTCGAATGCAAGGGTGATAGAATATTCGTATCAGTGTGAAGCCATATGTGGCGAAAAAGAATATTTCAATGTGCAAACGAATGACTGCAAACCACTGACACAGTAAGATCGATTTAAAGAGCTTCTGCCGCAGTGATACGTAAAAGAAGTTGTGAACATGCCAGTGATGTAAAAGCTTTGTGCTAAACAGGTGCAGCATGCTGGGGTTTCCTGAAAAGTTTCCAGGGAACAGGACACACAACTCAATTTGTGACAGACCCGGTATGTACACATATTCACGCATTTTATTGACACAGGCTGTAATTTGTTGATTGCTCAGCACGTAACACTTGTGATACACGACAACAGAACATAGTGACAATATGCTGCAGGTGAATACGCGCACAAGAAACTTAACTATGATTTGACTTTTCACCAGGGCCCAAAGACGGTGGAGACTTCATTCATGTGATCCTTGGCATTAGTGTCTTTTTGCTGTCTCTCAGCCTCTTTCTGTTCATGTCCTACACATGTATAAAGTACCTAAGGATTCACACAGCAAGTAAGTTCATGGAAAATCATATCAGTATGTCAAAGTGAAATCACTGGCATGGGGAGATTTCCTTCCGAAAACCACATGTGGCATTTAAACAATCAAAATAAGTATTCATTAACAGAAGAAATTGATGTGACTCAACCTAAATATTACTGCTACTGCTCTTTTTAAAAATACCATCATAAGGGGAACTTCTCAGAATTATTTTCATATATTTTTGTGACGCTATAGAACTTTAATGCACTACAACTTCTATAGTGGTCAATTACTGGACACTATAGTGGACACTTCAATATTTGCCTGCAAAGTCTGCCCATAGGGACACTTCTCACAAGTTCACAACATCTTTGACAGGAGTGAAAAATGCAACTGTAGCGAACATCATGCTATAGTGATATTATGATCATCACTGCACTATATATATGTCAGTTTACTGAAAAAATATTGATTTACATTGGAATATAATCTGATAGCCTATAAGAGCAGAATCAGGATGTACTCAGATAAATTGTGCACATGTGACACTCCTTTTCTTCTTCTTCTTTTTAGAAATCCTCTAAGGCAGATTTAGTCAAACACATAAATACAAAAATTCTGTAGCACAAATTAATAGTTGCATTAATGCAGTATATAAAGTGGGAAGTTTTTATAAATATATCTGTTAGCTGAGCCCACTTCTTAGATAAGCAAGAGGAAAAATTGATGGATGGCTAGATGAGTTGTGTCTTACATTAAAGACATTTAAACCCTTGTGTGCATGGTGTCCACTACAGGGCAAAAAACCCCTCAATTAAGCTGGACATGTTTTAAGTCTGGTTTGGGAATATTAAAATAACCAAACCTCTCATTAAGTTAATAATAATTAAAGGTTAGTCTTAAAAGTCACATCACTTTTTTGAAAAAAAATTTGAGCACATTGTGATAAAACCTTTAATACTTTTACAAAGCTGATGGATAGTCAAACTCTAGCCATGATGTCCTTCTGTCAAAAACATCAAAGTCTGCTTATCTTGCTCCCATTTCTCAAAATATGAAAACGCAAGTGAGACTCACTATGAAAAGTGATTAAAGTTATGTCACTTATTTGTTTAAAACATATTGCACTATAGAACATCATAGTCATCAAAATGAAGTGGAAGTGAAGTGGAAAATGGGGGTGGCAGCAATGAAATGTGTGATGTTTATTATCGAATGCGTGGGTGTGCAGCGAGGAAATAATGTCATATTTCAACTAAAACATTGATGGTAATAATTCTCTTCCTGATTTAGACCACAAACCCATGCTGGCTGTTCCTACTAACATCAGTGACTTTCACCTACCAAAGGAAGAGAGCGGGCTTCAGTTTGTCCAGGATGGATCCAAGGGCAGTGACAGTTGTGATCTAGAAAGCATTATTTTAAGATGATATTATAACTCTGTTCAATTACAGCCACTATGCTAAAAACTAAAGGTGTAAAATATCTTGCTTGACATCAGTGCACGGGATCTAGGAGGGAAAGTGAAAAACATTTGTAGAACAGACTTGATGATTCCTTTTGATCTTTAGCATGAGTTAAACAGAAACACATATGTATGGATTCATATTTAAAACCTCACTTTGATGTGGTACTGATTTTATCTCAAGTCTATACTTGAAATAGATGATTTCTTGTTGAATATTCAGGGGTATTGCAGTTTGGTCTGTAACACATGTGTTCGTCCCTGAGGTGGACCTTGCAGTTTGTGCCCTTCTGGCATGAGTTACAGATGAGCAACACAAGTTTTTTATGTTTATTATACTGCAAATAAACACACTGTTGGGAATGTTTTAGGTAGGTAGAGTTAAAGAAATTCAACAAACGAAAACAAATCTGGTTGGTTTATTTTGTTTCTGTAGTATAGCAAAACAGATAAATTGTAATCAGAAAGAATTAAATGGTTTTAGTCATTTTTCCTTTGTCGATCTATCATATGATTAATGAAAAATCTGCACACGTTTTGTCGTTACAAGAACTGCTTTTTAAAACATTGTTAAAGTTTGTCAAAAGCTGTCTTCAACAGTCAAGCTCCAACTGGATATCTATTAATTGCAACAGCACATGTTTGTTTCTTTTATATTTCTTTTGTAACCTCATAATGACTGTTTTATAAATATTCATTATTTTTTATATATTTTTTCTGTTATCATGCTGCAATACTAGAGTTGTGAATTGTGTTTCTAGTTTTTAAAATAATTTATTTAATATATGTTATCATAGTTCTTCATTTTATATATTGCATATATATATATATATATATATATATATAAAGTGACATTATTCAATGTCTCACCTTCAGTGGCATTGGTTGTTGTAGTGTTGCTGTGACGTGCAGGCCGGGATATGCTATAATAAACGTGTGACTGTTGTTTTTCTGTTCATAAAAACTTCTTATTGACAAAAAGAACGCAAACAGTGGGCGTTACACAAAGGGTGCACTTCCTCTGCGTCCCTGCGGAGGCGCTGATGAGCACGTTTTGGCTGAGCGGTCATATGACAGCTGCTTTTGTCCCTCTTCCCTTCCCCACTGGAAAAACGGCACATCTGACAGGGAGGGAGACGAAACAGGTACCACCATCAGGGGAGCGCTGACCACCGACCTCAAGATGCTGGCACTAATAAACCGGCTTTTGGACTGGATCAAGTCTCTGTTTTGGAAGGAGGAGATGGAGTTGACGCTGGTCGGCCTGCAGTACTCGGGGAAAACAACATTTGTAAACGTGATCGCTGTAAGTCTCCAGCTGCTACTAGCCGCCTTGCTAGGATACGGCTAACAGCCTTAGCTCGCATAATCTCATAGAGGTTACTAAGCTAGAAGTGGGCTAAACACTGTCCGGTTCTCTCGGGTGTGCTTTGCTCTGTTGGTGGAGCCAGCATCCATAACACACACCGCAGTCAAGAGGAGTTGCTGTTTTATGTTTAGCTGTTTAGTTTTGCAGCTTACCGGCTAGTAGGATGCAGTGTTATGGTCTAAACCCCAAAGCTCAAAAGCAGTATTTGACATAGTTTTACACGAAGGAGTTAAAAGCTGTCTGGAGTACTTTAGTTACCAGGAAGTAAACGTAATAACATAAACGTAACAGTAACTGTTGACAGCGGTGCAGCCAAACTGGAAAGATCACTTGTCATATGAACGTGTGTCATTGTAGTACAGGTCCCCTGTACCAGTGTTATACAGGTGTCCTGCCAAAGGAGATCATCTGCCAAAAATGATTGCGAGTGTTTAAACTAATGTAAATGAATTGGGCAGTGAAAAATGTACCACAATAACTTTGTTTTTCATCTATAACATAACATATTCTAAGGGTAATTTCTTCTTCTTCTTCTTTTTATTTTTTTTTAATTTTTTTTTATAAATAACCCCTTTGAAAATGATCCCGACTCCAACCTTTTTACCAATATAAGCAAATATATTGCACATAAAAACATAAACACACAAATCACTTTTTGGCATATGATCACTTTTGGGAACGACTGGTTTCCAAAATCATCAGGACAACTAACAGAGTCTGGGTGGGTTATCTTCTTTATTTTTTATATTTATTTTCTTGTATTTAGAAAAGTCAGCTTCTCAGTTTCTGTAGCATTAATGCTTAAATGTGAGATTATAAAGCAGTGTCAGATTTCCATGACACATCTAAAAAAGGGACTAGATTAACACTGCACTTAAGTCAAGCACACGTAAACAAAAGGAGAAGACATTTTTGCACTTAAAAGACACAAAAAACAACAACAGCAGATTGTAGCTTCTTGGGTAGGGGTGTTGGTTTCTCATGTAACTTTGCAGTTATTTCTCAAAAACTGGTGGGGCAATCCAGGTTGCCTAAAATGGGTTTCTTTCTTTTTTTCTCCCAAACCTTTGGTTGTTTTAGTTTCACATATGGGGCCCTAGTGAGGGTGGCAACAGATGGCAGGCATGCCTTTTACTCCATCAGCTGGCAGATAACCAATCAGATTAAATGTATCTGGTGTAGGCAAGGTCTGATTGGTGCAGCCTTTCGTCTTAAAATGAAATAGCTTCAGATCAGTCAGGATTCATTCTGTACTTTTCTCTAATGTGCATCTTGTGTGTGTTTATGTAACAGTTTTTATCCAAAGTATGGATGAGTAATCAATTTTCAAAGAGATATGTTGCCGGGATGTTAGAGGAAGCTCTTTAAAAACATTTGTGCACTTGAGATGTTTATCTCCGCTGCCAGAGTTAAAAACAAGTATGCACTTCCTCTGCCAAACCTTGGCATTCTGGTTTCTGGCTGGTGTATTTTTATGTTTTTAATCAGTTTTACTAGGTGATAGTCAGTGTATTGATGATGTATAACCTCTGCTTTCAAAAAAATTCTCAATCATTTATTTGCTCCGGCCATTAATTCAACATTGGTATTCTACTATTATGTGAGCTCAGTTTTAAACATTATATATTTATGTGTTGGTCCTTTTTGTTACACAAACACTCAGGCTACTGGAAGTTGTGAATTTTTTTTTTTTTTTTTTAAAGAATATATTTATTAAATTAGGTTAAAGTGAAAGTAATTCTTTCTAAAGACTCCGACTTGCACAGTTGAAACACTTAAAAGAAACACTGAATTGTGCTGAGGTTATATGCGTGCTGAAAAAAACAGATTTTTATCAGGCATTTACTGCGAAGAAGACGACATCTCTATAGAAATTTTTTTTGGTGTCCACACTTATCTGGTGATATCAAGGTTTTTGGGGTTGGAACGTACTCTTCCCCTTCCTTTACGCTGAGTAAATGAAAAAAATACCCTACCAGACACTGACAATAGAGTTCATGAGTAGTTATGCAGGGGTGGTTCCGCCTTTCTCAGTCATAAGACCGTTCACTCATTTCCACTTAGCTTTGTCAGGTGACTCTGGCGAGTCATGTGCTGTGAAATGTTCGTGCACCCGGCAGTGCAGGTTCACGAAGCATGGAGAAGGATATCTGCAGCTTGTGAACTTAAAAGGGAAATTCCACTGATTTTTCATACACAAACACATTTTCTTTCCACTGCAGTTTACACAAAGCATTAACAAAAGGCCATTCACAAAAATCCCAAACGTTTTATTTTATTGTCATTTCAATAAAATGATTCACTTTGTATATTTTTTCTTTTATGATACTCAAACTAGAGTCAACTTTGAATGTTTTACTTTTTATAGTCCCTTCCTCCTTTGCAATAAAGACTCAGTGAAAACACTTTTATGATTGGTTTATTCTTCATGAATGAATCAAAAACAAACGTTAAACATTAAAGCTGTGGTTTTACCTTAGAATGTCATTATGTGAGTCACGCTTTTATAAGCTACCATAAGTTATAAATTGCTTGTTAAAGGTCACTTGAAGTTTAAATGTAAAAACTTATAAACGTTTCTTAGAACTGCCACTTAATTTGTAATCCGCAGCGTGTATTTCCATGCAGCATGTTGCTATGCATTTCTTATAAGCACACAGCTTCATGTCTGTGACTCCTGTTCTTTAAGGAAGTTAATCAGTGCAGCACACATGCAGTATATATGTGAGTGACCAGTTGTGCTGTTATACTTGGTTATATAGTGCAGATGTTGTAAAATGTGCATTTGAAATAACTGATTTTTTTTCTTTTAATAAATGATATACTTGTCTTTCCTTTCAGTCTGGGCATTTCAGTGAAGATATGATTCCTACAGTCGGGTTCAACATGAGGAAGGTCACTAAAGGAAATGTCACGATCAAGGTTCAGTTTAAATCTAATCTGTCACAACTGGTAAAACAAAACCCCAGAGTGGTTTTAGGAAAAGTTATCTAAAGGTTTGGTCTTAATTCTGTAGATCTGGGATATAGGAGGGCAGCCGAGGTTCAGGAGCATGTGGGAGCGGTACTGTCGGGGAGTTAATGCAATCGTGTGAGTATCCCCGACTGCCTTTCATACCTTTTGTTTCATAAAACAAACACTATTGTTGTTAAATGATGACTAATTTTGATTTTGATCTTGTCAAGGTACATGGTTGACGCTGCAGATCGAGAAAAGGTGGAGGCATCGAGAAATGAGCTTCATAATTTATTAGACAAACCTCAGTTGCAAGGAATTCCCGTAAGTGTTCCACTTAAACCAATTTAGATATTTGTGTGATTTCAGAAGCAGTAACAGAGATCTGTGTGTGACTTCTCTGGAATACTCCACTGGAGTTTCAGAGTTCAAATTTAACCTGCCCTTTTGTAGGTTTTGGTACTGGGTAACAAAAGGGATCTCCCCACTGCACTAGACGAGAAGCAGCTCATTGAGAAAATGTAAGTGTGGAAAAATCTTGAAGGCATTTCAACTTTTCATCAGTGCATTGTAGGTTCTTAATATCAGAAGTGTTCGCAGTTTTTCATCTCTTGTTTTGTTTTTTTAAAGAACCGTTAGGATGCTTCCCTCATGTATATCTCTTGGTAAAGGGGAACTGTCTTTATTTATATCCAGCTATAATCTTACTGGTTCCCTCTGCTGTCAAGTTGTCAAAAATGTGCTGAGACTCTTACTAGTACTACTTTAACGCAGTCATTTTCAAACTGTGGTGTGGACGCCCCCTGGGTTTTTTTTAGGGCCATTGCAGGGCTTGTATGGCTGACTGGTGAAAGGGGAATAAATCTGCTCTGTGGACCTTTACTTTAAATTAAATTGTCTTAAAATGTAGGGTTTGGCTATTTTCAGCTTCAGCTCACTGCGATAAACTTCATCCATAAGCATAAGGGGATTATTTCAAGCTTATTTTACACATATATATATATATGTATATATATATGTGTGTGTGTGTATATATATATGTGTGT